AAGCCAGAAAAGCCCATAACAACCAGTACTTCCTACCACATAAAAATATGTGGGAGAAAAATGTCTTGTAGTAAAACCATTCTTAGGTCTTTTTCATTCATAGGATCCTTTTTTTTGCAACTGATTTCAAGTGTTGTCTGAGTGAAATGTCCTTCAGCAGGCTGTGACTTAGCAGATACAGCAACTGAAGGATATAAATTGTTCAAAAAGAACAAAGAGAATAGAAATGGAGATAGAGTTGTAGTATATTTCAAAGACATGCATTCCTGCACAGAAATACAGGAGGAGGAGATTAGATGTCCCATTGAGAGCATCTGGATCAATGTAGCTGGGCCAAAAACAAAAGGAACATGGAAGCAGATGAAATTTTTGAAAAACAAATTGCAAGGATGTCAAAGAGACATGATAGTGATGGGAGGTTTCAATTATCTGGATATACGTTGGGAGGCAAATTTTGCAAAGTATGATCCTTCCAAGAAATTCCTGGCTTGTGTGGCTGATACTTTTCTCCTACAAAAAGGGGAGAAAAAACAGAGGACTCTCTATCCCTTACTTGATTCTAACCAATAGAGATGGTGGGGGAAGTGGCAGTAAGGGGAACTCTAGAAGAGAATGACCATGTTCTACTAGAATTCTTGATTTCAAAGGAAATGAAAGCAGAATGTAGCCACACATGTCTGCTAGATTTAAAAAAAACCCAATTTTAATAATGTCAGAACAAGGATAAGTAAGGTCCCATGGCAGGAGATCCTAACAAGAAAAGGAGTCCAAGAAGGATGGGAGTTTCTAAAAAAAGAAATTCTGAAAGCACAACTACAAACAATTCCAACAAGAAATAAAGGTGGGAGGCAGCAAAAAAGGCTGGTGTGACTTCACAAAAAGTTTAGGGAGGACCTGGAAACAGAAAAAAAAATCATATATAGGAAGAAGGCCAGGTCATGAAAGAAGAGTATAAACAAGTAGCAGGGAAATGCAGAGATGGCATTAGGAGAGCAAAAGCTGAGAATGAGCTGAGATTAGCTAGAGACACCTAAAGAAATAAAAAAAGCATTCTTCAGGTATGTGCAAAGCAAATGACAAAGAAAACAGACAGTGGCACAGATACTGAATGGAAATGGAAAAATGATAACAATGACAAAGAAAAGGCAGAGGTGCTCAATTCCTATTTTATCTCTGTCTTTTCCTATAGGACAGACTATGAACGTTAAAACAAATGTGAAGCACAAGTGGAGGAGATAGGATTACAGCTGGAGATTGATAAACAAATAGTTACGGAATACCTCTCCACCTTGAACAAGTTCAAATCTCCAATGCTGGATGAACTACATCCAAGAGTACTGAAGGAACTGGCTGAAGAACTCTCAGAACCACTGTCTATTATTTTCTTGAAATCATGGGAAAGAGGTGAGATGCCAGATGTTTGGAGGAGGGCTAATGTTGTCCCTATCTTCAAAAAGGGCAAAAAAGAGGACCCTGGGAGCTATGGGCCAGTCAGTCTAACATCAATCCCAGAGAAAATTCTGGAACAAATTATAAAATGGTCACTATGTAAGTACCTAGAAAACAACGCAGTAATAACTAGAAGCCAGACTTATATGATCTCATTTTTTGAGCAGGTAACCTCCCTGATAGACAGAGGGAATGCTGTAGACATAGTATATCTTGACTTTAGCAAAGCTTTCGACATGATCAGCAAGCTAACTAGGTGTGGGATGGATAAATCAATTGTCAGGAGAATACACAATTAGCTACAGAATCATACTCAGAGAATGATGATTAATAATTCCTTCTCTATTTGAGAGGAGGTAACAAGTGGGGTACCCCAATGCTCAGTCCTGGGTCCGGTGCTCTTCAACATTTTTATTAATGACGCGGATGGGGGAGTGTAGGGACACCACACTTCAAGAAGGATGCTGACAAATTGGAACAAGTTTAGAGGAGGGCAACAAGGATGATCAGGGATCTGGAAACCAAGCCCTGTGAGGAAAGACTGAGAGACTTTTGCTGTTTATCCTTGAGAAAATAAGACAGAGGGATGATATGAAAATCCTTTTCAAATACTTGAAAGGCTGTCATACAGAGGAGGGGCAGGTTCTCTTCTCAATCATCCCAGAGTGCAGGACACACAACAATAGGCTCGAGTTACAGGAATCCAGATTTTGATTGAATATCAGGAAAAACTTCCTAACTGTTAGAGCAGTATGACAGTGGAACCAGTTACCTCAGGAGTTGCGGAGCGGTCCAACACTGGAAGCATTCAAGAAAAATTTAGATAATCACCTAGCAGAGAGCATAGAAATGTGTGCAAGCTTTTGAGTTCTCTGAAATCTTCACCAGGCAAAATATTACAAAAATGAATTGAAGAGGTAAGTGGGGGGCTGGACAGGAGGAAAAACACACACAAATGAACTGTTATTTGAACAGTCATGTCTACCTGTTATCCTGAGTCTTATGGAGGGATCTGGAAACTATAACAGCTTGCGTATCTGTGTTAGATTGGTCCAACAGAGATATTATGCTAGCTTTGGTGTCGTTTTTCTTAAGGTCATAGCTATAACTTTTTCTTAATATGCATGTGAGCATATTGTACTTACTGATTTGGCTAGATGAACTTTGTTCTTTCTCAACCATGGAAGGTTAACGTTGGAATAAGAAGTTAAGTTTTCTGTTTATGTCCAGTCCTGTCTCGACCAGATGGCTCATTGCAACTAATATTATTGCTTCTAGGTGATATGTGGTCATTAGCATATGTACATGCATCTGTGCACACATTTTTTTTAAAAGATGACAATGTCCTTAAATTAACATTTACATTTGGCTGTGCATTTCCTTCTTACGGAAGGGGAAATGAGTGTGCTTTCATGTGATTAACAATCAGAGGAACTTGTGAAAGTGACAACTCTATAAATGCAGCTCATAAAAACCAGCCCAGTCAGATGTGTTTCAATTCCACTGGGCCAGAAACAGCAGCAAGATGACAGACCAGGGACCTGTGCGGGAACCCAGGCTCATCAGAGAGGGATATCTAGTGAAGAAGGTATGCACAGACTATTTTGAATTAAACTCTTGTGCAGGAAATTATATTTTAAAGCAAACTGGAATGCCAAGTTCACTATCCTTAGCTGAGCTTGGGACACTGAGAGACCTAACTTCAGGCACTGGAAAGATGTATTTCTATGACATTTATGTATGTATGTATGTATGTATGTATGTATGTATGTATGTATGTATGTATGTATGTATGTATGTATGTATGTATGATGTATGTATGTATGTATGTATGTATGTATGTATGTATGTATGTATGTATGTATGTATGTATGTATGTATGTATGCATGCATGCATGCATGCATGCATGCATGCATGTGTGTCTGTGTCTGTGTCTGTGTCTGTGTCTGTGTCTGTGTCTGTGTCTGTGTCTGTGTCTGTGTCTGTGTGTGTTTGTTTGTTTGTTTGTTTATGCAGAAGCCTTCATTTGTCACAGCAATGCCTCTATGAGCACCCAGTGGTCCAAAGCTGCTGCCATTTAAAGCCAAGTTTATTTAAACACAGTTATGTTGATATAATTCCCAACAATTTCCAAAGATTTTTTATGGGTAAGATTTTTATGCCCCTCTCTGTCTCCCTCTCTTTCTCCCTGTGGTGTTGCAGGTGCTGCTGATCTTAGCTCTAAGATGATATTACCAATAAATCCTTTCCAGAGCTTGGAAATGTCAGTTTTTAAATGACAACTCTAGAATTCCCCACCATAGGCCATGTTGGTTGATGGACTATGAGAACTATAGTCCAAGAAAAGTAGCATTTCTGAGCTCTGCACCTTTCTGTCAGTGGTCACTATATGGAGAGCAGTCACAAAATGGCAACTAGAGCAATGAATGATATTTATCCCAGTGGGTAGTGTTACTTTGGATATGCCGTGTGTTGCAGTGGATGGAGTGCATACTAGAACCCAGGATACCAGGGTTTGAATCTCTGCAAGGCTATGGAAACTCCCTGGAGGAGATGGGTCAACTTAGATATCTCACTTACCTTTAAAGCCTTGCTAGGATCAATACAAGACAGTTCTGACCTGATGGCACATAACACACAGTGTCAACACAGTGGGAGGTTTGCCCTTGTTGGGGGGGGGGGGAGGCAGGGCTGTAGTGGTTGCAGCTGCATAGGCAAGGCTTAAATACTCCCATAGCATGTTCTTTAACAAATTCTGTCAATGAGCATGGGACATGTGATTGTTAGCTGCTTCTTGAACACAGTTTGTTCACATCATGTGTAGTTAGACTCAATTAAAGTGTGGGAAGATTTTTCAAAACGGCTTTAAGTCGTTTGAATGTCTGTCACCAGCTTCTTTACAGTTCTGCTTCACACACAATTTCCTACTGACAATAAGAGGAGAATGAAGCCTGTAGCTGTGATCAGATAATTTCCTATGGAATCATATGCACCCACATGTTCTCAGATTATCTTTTCTGCAAGGAACTGGGCATGCCAGTTCAGATTCTCCATGTCTTTCATCCCCAGAGAAAAGGGTGGAACATTGTGTGCATACAGAGCTTCAGAAAGCAGCCTGACATTATAACAGACAGCAGAATTAATAATTACTAGAACTGCAGAGTCAGATAATTTCCTATGGAATCATATGCACCCACATGTTCTCAGATTATCTTTTCTGCAAGGAACTGGGCATGCCAGTTCAGATTCTCCATGTCTTTCATCCCCAGAGAAAAGGGTGGAACATTGTGTGCATACAGAGCTTCAGAAAGCAGCCTGACATTATAACAGACAGCAGAATTAATAATTACTAGAACTGCAAAGCTGGAAGGTACTCTATAGATCACTGAGTCCAGCCCTTTGTCAGGGAGGCACCGTGGGGAATCGAACTCCCAGTCGTACCTAAACCACTGAGCTATCCAGCAGCTCTAAACTAAATTGACCTCCTTAAACTAATGAGAGCCAGAGCAATTACTATAGAACATATGCATAAACAAAGCACTTACTCACATATACCAACAAGACCAATTAAAGGCTTGATGAGCAGGAGGAAGTACAGGAATAGCCCTGACCACAAGAGAAACTATGTTCGCAACTGAGAATGGTCAAAATAGGTTCTTACAGAAACACTCCTGTAGGGGAAATTCTGCACACATTTCCTGTAACCCAGAAAGGCAAACTCATCTTATTTTCTTCCATTATGTTGTTATTTATCAAGTCATTTATTTCTTTGGCCAATCTGTTTCACCTTTCTAATGGAAAACCAAGTTAAGGAGCTTGCAATTAAAATAAATAAATAAACTGCACAAATGTTTGAGAATCAATCTGACGGTGAAACAAATCACAAGTCTTTATTTGACAACAGTTATTTGACCACAGTTGTGACAACAGCTATGAGAAAGACCTGCCATCTGGAGCATGCTACCTCTGGGTTGGACTTATCATCAAAACTCATGTGGTAAATAAAGTGCCCTAAAGTATTATTGTAAAAGAAATCCCAAACTTCACAACAGATTAATATAATATCAAAAGCTCAATAATGAAAAATGCTGATAGAAGTAAGCTGCATTGTAGTTAGTAAGGGCTCAATGTAAATGGCCTCAGAAATTGACCACTAAACGACTAAACACACACACAAACATGGGAGAAGACCTTCCTGAGGGAACCAGGTCATTGTTAATATCCAAAACCAACACCTTGAAGTAAGCCCACAAACAAGCTATAAACCAATGACATTGTCATAAAATGGATATAGTGTGATAAAATTCAAACCTGAATTTAGCGGTCACACTCTGAACTGATTGAAGTCTATAGACTAACTTCAAGGGGAAACCTACATAGGAGCACATTACAGTAACCACTCAGAAGTGACTAATAATGGGATTGTAGGCATGGGTACTCTGAACTGAGTTCTTTTGAGTGTACTTGGGTAGAGGAGTCTGTGTAGCATTGCACTAGGAGGCAGGAGTGACCAAGACTAGGCCATGACCACAGTTATGGGGAAAGGCTTGCCATCTGCAGCATGCTTACTATGGGTCGGACTTACCAGAGGAACACATGTGGCAAAATTCTCTATATCTGATAGCTGGGGGGAGGGGAACCATCATTGCTATCTATGTGGTATAACAGACTCAAAGGAAAGGAGAAATAGCACGTAACTTAAGGAAGTTGCAAGGCACCCACTTCTTCATTTACTATCTATTCATGTGGCAATAACATTCAGAGAAGTTATGTCTTGGTTCTGCTATATACGAGTAAGTGAGATACTGAAACAGTTTCAGCCGAGATGTCTGTCTGGGGAATCACTTCAATTTCAGCCACCTGGAAGTGTTCAATAAAATAAAAACAAAAATAGCCACACGGGGCCAGGTAAAATCAAAATCCATGGCAGGGCTACACCTTTCTTAGGACTGACCAAAATGTTCTGTCTAGAAAAATGAAAGAGGCTGGGAAAACATGAATACTTGCACACTTCTGTGGCTTTTTGGTTGGTCCTGGAATGTATTGCTCATCTGTAGGTTTGCAAACACGCAACCAAGGAACGTTGAAATGTGATGACTATAGGATAAATTCTTCTCGTTTTAAAGTGATTCTCCTGCTGGAGAAGTTTGTTTAAGTGAATGCTTTATTTTAAGAAAGGTTTATTTTGCTTTGTCTTGGTGGGCAGCAATGAGAAAATAAGTTTAAACATAGAGATTTTAATGAGAGACAATAAAACAGTAAAAATACAGCGGCCAAGTAAAAATTAAGAGCAATGAAACTATACAATAAGATAGGAAAGAGATCAGCACAGCAGGCTCAAAGGCTAAGAAACAAAGTCTTTGTCATTTAAGAGTGATGCTTGAGAAAAAAAACTGGGTAAAAGGCATAGATAGTGGAAGCTGTTTACTGATACTACCAAATAAGGTATGTCTGGGGATTTCTTTTTCAAACTGATAGTATGGCTTGGTCATAAATCTAGGATTATAACTGCAAAGGAAGGACAAGATTTCTTTAAAGAGATGAAGATTCAGATACTTAAGATTCCAAAACCCCTCCAAAAAAACTCCACAAGACCAGAATTATCAAAGAAATAGAATGCAGTTATGCTGGAAGAGAGAAGAAAGGCAGTCCTACTATAGTTAAGAAACAGCTTATATAGCAATGAGTTTAAAAGAGTTTTTTTTAAAAAACAAACAAACAAACTGAAAAACAAAAAAACAAACAAACAAACAAACCCTACATCTATATTTCTATATATTGAAATAAAAGCTATGCAGTTGGGGAGATTTCGCCACAGGAGCAATAGCTCTTAACCTCACAAATTGTAACCCACATGGGACTGCTCATTTTAGTGATGCAGCTTCAGTGTTATTAGTTGGGCGGTGAGTGAGCAGGGGAAAGGAGAGAGGGAGAGGAAGGAGATCCAGGAGGGAAGCAGGAGACAGGGAGGTGGAAGAAGAAGGGGAAGGTTATGCAGGCAACCCTATCTTATATGGTTGCAATATGAGCATTTAACATTCCTTAATGTATTCTATTTGAACAAGGAGATTAAATGCACGATTAACAAATTTAATGGGTGACACATTCATCAGCTGAAATATTATGCAATTATGCGGGCTATTCATAATTTGGGTGCTGACGTGTTCTTGCTACAGGAAACACATCATAGAAAACAAGAGCAATATATTATAGAATATCCATCCCTTTGGGAACAGTTTAGTAAAAGTGGAACAAATAAATCTAGGGGGGTAGCAATAATTTCTATGAAAAATTCTAAATTTCAAGCAGTAGATCAGCTGAGTGATCCTGATGGCAGAGACATGTTTGTAAGAAGGAAATTAAGAAATAGATTGATGAGTATTGCATCACATTATGCTCCTAATGTAGGTCAGGTGAAATTAATATGAAGCCTTCTGAGAAATGGGCAGTTTGCATGGGGAAAAATAATCCTATTAATACATACTAATTGTGTTTTGAATGTAAAAAGAAATATATCTTCAAAAACTAAGAACATGTATGCTGTTGAAATAAGAATTGGAAAATTATTGAAAAAGGATAGTTTGGTGGATGGATGGAGGTATTTAAATGCTTGAAGGTAGTCATTGCACCTTTCCCCCCCTCCTCAATATATATCTAACTTATTCAATGGATAGACTGTATAGTTATTTCAAGATCACTTGCACCACTGTTAACTAAGGCAGATTTTGCTCCGATCATAACACTTTCCCATGCTCCAATAAAAGTCAATGGGGCTAATAATATTCCAATGTATAAGGCTAGGATTTGGAAGCTAAGTTCTAGCATACCCACAAACTAAAAATCATTAAAAATGTAAAAGATATGGAGTTTTTCAATGAAGCAAATGATAAAGATGGGGTGAAGCCAACACTTTTATAGGATACCCTTGAAACCTATTTAAGAGGGATGTTTACAATGGAGGAGTCAAGATATAGAAAAAGAGAGAAACAGGTTGCAAGTACAGTTAGAAGCTAAAATAAGGAGACTATCGAAAGAACATAAGAGATCAATATTCACCAAACTGAGAAGAACTAAAGCAGAACTAAGTGACGTGGTAGCACTGTGGGTTAAATCGCAGAAGCCTCTGTGCTGCAGGGTCAGAAGACCAGCAGTCGTAAGATCGAATCCACACAATGGATTGAGCTCCCATCACTTGTCCCAGCTCCTGCCAACCTAGCAGTTTGAAAGCATGTAAATGTGAGTAGATAAATAGGCACCACCTTGGTGGGAAGGTAACGGTAGTTCATATCTAGTTGTGCTGGCCACGTGACCACAGAAACTGTTTTCAGACAAGCGCAGGCTCTATGGCTTGGAAACGGGAATGAGCACCGCCGCCTAGAGTCAGACACGACTGGGCTAAATGTCAAGGGGAACCTTTACCTTTTAAAGCAGAACTACAGGCGTTGTTTAGTCATTTAGTTGTGTCCGACTCTTCGTGACCCCATGGACCAGAGCACACCAGACCCCCCTGTCTTCTACTGCCTCCCGGAGTTTGGTTAAAGTCATGTTGGTAGCTTCAATGACGCTGTCCAGCCATCTCATCCTCTGTTGTCCCCTTCTCCTCTTGCCTTCACACTTTCCCAACATGAGGGTCTTTTCCAGTTAGTCTTCTCTTCTCATGAGATGGCCAAAGTACTGGAGCCTCAGCTTCAGGATCTGGCCTTCCAGTGCGCACTCAGGGTTGATTTCCTTCAGAACAGATAGGTTCGATCTCCTTGCAGTCCAGGGAACTCTCAAGAGCCTCCTCCAGCACCACAATTCAAAGGCATCAATTATTTGGTGGTCAGCTTTCTTTATGGTCCACCTCTCACTTCCATACATCACTACAGGAAAAACCATAGCTTTGACTATGCGGACTTTTGTCAGCAAGGTGATGTCTCTGCTTTTTTAGCAGGTAATAGTCCCTAATGAAACATTACTATTATTCTCAATATTCACTGGAAATAATGATAATTTATCTGATAAAGAGTTGGTGGTGATCCTTGTCCGGATTGCGGGAACAGACATTGCCCAAACTTTGAAAAACGCTCAAGGACTTTCCTTTTGAAGGTATTTGAATAGGAATCTGACTCATAGCACTGAGGTAAAAATGGACCTCTCACAGTAGACTGCTTAGAGGAGAAATAAAAGAAGATAATTCCATTAAAATTTGGCACCCTGTGTTGGTTTGGGGTTTGGAATGAAATAGAGAAGTCACTTTGAGCAGTTGACTTTTAAGTCTGTTGTCTTTTAAGTTTAATAGAATGCAAGTATTAGTAGTTTAATAGGAATGGATTGTATCATTCATAGAGATAAATTTATTGTTGTGTTTGTGATTGTATGGGTAATTGGGTTATAGGTTTTGCATTATAATCTTTAATGTTGTTTTAATTTTTTTCACTGCCACATCCCTGAATGCCAACTGCTGGAAAGCAAGGATGAGAGTTATTGCACATACAATCTGCTTCTGGGCTTCACGGAGGCACTTAGTTGACCCCTATGGGCAACACCATGTGCATTAGATTGGTGTTTTGTCTAATCCACCAGAGCAGATGTTCTCATACTTGGGTGTGGTCACAATGAAAGACCTTTCTTGCATCTCCCCTACCACAAACTTCTCAGTGATGTTGGGAGGATAGAGAGGAGACTCAAGACTCTCCATCAACACTAACCTTAAACAGGCATTGTTCCACCTTATGTGTGAACACATTTAGAGGGAAGTGCCTCACGCCATCTCCCTTCCTTTAGCACATTCTGCACAGTTACACACCAAGTCTGAAGACAAAAGGTTCTCATTCACAGGTAGGCTATACATATAAGCAATAACCCTGGACAATCAGGGTTCTTTCTCCCATGTACAGCCTGTGTGCAAGCAGAACTATTCTCCTCTTCTGAGGAAACCCTGGACAATCAGGGTTCTTTCTCCCAGAAAGCAGAACTATTCTCCTCTTCAGATCTGGAGCCGTGACTGTGAAGGACCTGAGGAAGGCAGGCACAGGGATAGGTACTCCCCTCTGTGTGTGCTCACAGCCTCATGTGTTTAGAGCTAGTATATCCCAAACAAGCTTTTTCACATCTGAGGTACTCCCCTCTGTGTGTGCTCACAGCCCCATGTGTTTATCCCAAGCAAGCTTTTTCACATCTCCTAGCTAGAAATAATGACCAATCATGTTCTGGATGGAAATTCTAGCTATCAATCACCTTTAAAAAAAAAACACAGAGCAACCACTGGAAAACACAACAATATATACTAGAACACATGGAAGATAACAAGACCATTAGATGTTGGGGGTTTATCTAAACCAGCCATTCGCAACCTTTGTTGGTCATGGCCATAAATGCAATATGAAAGAAATACAGGCCGAATCAGTTTTCTATGAGTCACATAATGAACCTTATAAGGTGGTATGTGAAGAATTGTTTCCAGTCTGTGGCTCCCTTCAAATGTGCCAGGGCCACCCACAGGGTTCATATGGCTGCTGTTGAGAATGGCTGAAACAGATCACATCATTGTCTATGCTTTCAGGCTGCCCCAGTATTTATTTATGTATTTATTTATTTCTCCCTTTGAAATGCAGAATGTTATTACTTCCTGCGTAAAATAGCCCCATAAGTTTCCATGGGATGGTGAGGGTAATAAAGAATGCTGTTATTATTTGCATATTCAGTAAAAGGATACAAAACATTATAATACTCATTGGTTTTATGAGTACATGCTAATTCACAAACATGCAGAGTAAATTTTTCTATCAACAAATGCAGCTATTAAACATATAATACTTTATAATATTTTGACCCAACTCCGGGAGGCAGTGGAAGACAGGAGGGCCTGTCCATGGGGTCACGAAGAGTCGGACACGACTAAATGACTAAACAACAACAACAATTTTATATTAATACATTGTTATTGTCTCAGCTGCACCTTCCAAATACCATGTAGTTGAGTCCTGATCAGAACTGGTAAGAAGAGCAGTGCTGAGATTGCTGCTGAATTCTGTAGGGAAACTATGTCATGTGTCAGTGAGTTCTGCTTTTTATTCCAGTCTTAATACAGTGGTGGACCATCCATGGGGATGGGAAGGCATTCTGTATATGACCAGATGTGACACAAATAAATGGAGATTCTGTTCTGGTGGGTGTGATCGAAAGTGAATGAAGTCTTTGTTCCCTCTTTCTTCTCTAAATTCCACCCGTGCATTTGTTTCATATTGTGCAGTTGGAGACACACTGACTGGTTTAAAAAAACCTGAACCGCTGTATTCCCATATCTGTATGAAATCTCTTGTTCACTTGAGAGAACGAAAGAGCCAGTCTGGTGCAAAAGGTTAAGAAACCAAGCCAATTACTTCATTTTGCATACAAAATTGCAATGATGTAAACCACCCCAGGCACTGTAGTAATCCAACATTTTCTGCTCTATCCAAAACTCCTTAACCCTATGCCACCTCACTCCTTTGTTCTTCAAATTAGTACACAGGTTATTAACATGCAATTGATGTAAAATTATATATTGTCCAGTGTTCAAATTCTGGCCTGAATCCTATTGGTGTTCACTCATATTTATGTAATATGTCATGACTAATTAAACGCTCATTCCTGAAGTGCTGTGGTGCTTCTGGGTTGTACAATGGAGTATTTGACAAAACACATGGCTGAGACACCCCCTAGAATGAGCAAAAGTCTTTCTGTGCACCTAGCAAGCCTCTGGAAGTGACAGTGTCATCAGAATGGCATCTTCTGTAGATCTTAAGATCCAGACAGGTTCATTAACACGCCGGGCAGCCTCTGATACATCTACAGTAGAGTCATGTGGTTTTTTTAAAAAAAGATTAAAACCAGTACCTTGAACTGAATTGAGAAAAGCATGGGCAACCAGTGCTATCCGTTCTGTTTCAGCAATATCAGGGAGATCCTGGTATTCATTTACTCAGGTGATGTTGCGTGTTGCCCTGTATGTTAAAAATCTGTTTGTAAGGCTGTTAGAAATAGATTTTATGGAATCTGGTTGTAAGCCTGTTTGAGAGTCCGTGAGGACTGAAAAGTGGGACTTAAAATGTTGCTGATAAACAAATATTCATGTGGATACAATTTCATGTTAAGAATGTTTCCTCTTCTGTTTTTGCAGTCTGTTTAGATAACATCTGCTTGGTTTGAATACAGGGCAGCATGTTTAATACCTGGAAACCCATGTGGGTCGTGTTGTCAGAAGATGCAGTTGAGTTCTTTAAGAAGAAGACTGACAACAGCCCTAAAGGAATGATTCCTCTAAAAGGAAGCACCCTAACGAGTCCCTGCCAGGATTTTGGTAAAAGGATGGTGAGTATGTATGGTGGTTTCCACATAAACAGATTTCTGGGTAGGTCCAAGTCTAAGTTTGATGATCCATTATTAGCTGCTGCCAAGTTCAGCAACAGTCTTTTTTTAAAAAAGGTATCCATTGGGTGTAACCTCCCCATGAGCTTGCTTGCATGCCTACTCAGATTGTAGGTGCTCACATGGAGTTGAGTGAGAGTGTGGAACAAGCAGCAAATCAATTTTGTTTTCAGCACTAGAAGGGCCATAAGACTGCTGCTGGGCCTAGAAATGTGGCTTAGAAGGGTCTTGAGTCCTTTGGGCTTGGATCAGCAAAGCTGTCGCCCTCTGGAGGTTGTTCACCTATTGGCCCTAACCAACACAGAGCAATGGTGAGGGATTGTGCCAGTGAAAGAAACAGAAAGGGCAGTTTCTCCATGTGCACGCTGAAGAAAGCATTCGGTCTGTGAAGGGCGATCTCATCCATGCTGGATGAGACCAAAAATCTGTCTAGTCCAGCATTCTGTTCCCGCAACTGCCAACAGATTGCCTATTGAGAGTTTGCCACAGTATTACTTTACTGTGTAGATCCTCCTGGAGCAAGTTGTTGTTGAGGTCCAAAATGCATGACAACTGTCTTTGGATAACCCAGCTGTCTGTGGATTTCCATTGAAACCACGCAGAACAAGAACTGCATCAGCTCTCTCCAACCTGATGTCCTCCATCTGTGTTGACCTACAGTTCTCATCATCCCCAGACAACATAGGCCCTTCACCATGCTGGGTGAAGCCAATGAGATTTGCAATCCAGCATGATGGAGGGCACCAAATTGGAGAAGGTGGTTTTTTACAACAGCAAGGCACCCTTTTCAGCTCTGAAATGTTCATGCCATTTGGATTAGATGCAGGCTGAATGGTTAATCAAATCACCTGAGTTTCATTTAGAGGAGTCACAGCAATCTGAAAATGTGACTGTGGCTGAACTGTGAAACTATTGTATGGAATAAGAATATTCTAAAACCAATAAAACATAACAAAAAAAAACCACAAGCTCTTAATTATCACAGTTTGACTTGGACAACCCAGTTCTGTTGGCATAATGTTCCTGACATGGCACCCTCCATTCTGTTACTATCCAGTCCCTATTCCCCTACTAAACTCTTAGTCAGAAAGGGGGGGCACAGCTCATACACAGCATAGATGTGCAGTGCTTTAGCTAGAATCTCTTTCTCCCTAAAGCCAATCAGGCAGATGGTGGGAATTCCACAACAGTTGAATCCAGGCTGAGTTCAGACTACAACTTCATGTTGCAACCCAAAGTGTTGTGTACAGAAATGTTGTTTCTCTTCAAAAAATTACAAAGCGGTTCACCTGGAGGGTGTGGAAAACTTTGGGCAAGGCATGAAGCAATCTGAGGTGAAACAGGCATTACAGTTTCTGGGATGCCAGAATGTTGAGACCCTAACCAGAGAACATAATGTTGAAGTATTTTATTGTCATGAAATTTCCTCCAATGCACTCCTTTTTGACATTCCTGTTACAAAATAACATCATTTTAAAAGCATTGTTAAGTTTTAATAATATAGAGAGTAACATCATTGGGTGTTTGATCCCCAGCTGTGCCTTCCTGACATGGGCTGTATTTGATAATCCATAGGATCCCTTCCAGCTCTGCAGTCCTAAGATGATGATGATGATCTACTCAGATGGTGGTTTGAGAGTCCTAAGATGATGATGATGATGATGATCTACTTAGACGGTGGTTTGAGGGGGGGGGAGAATTTGGGCTACTTTTTTTTAAAATATGGCAGTTTCAATATATTAATTAAACTAACAAAACATAGTGCATTAAGACACGTTTGCTAATGTTTTATGCTCACAAAGTAACAAGTAATGAGTAACTAGTCTGCATCCAACCTATAATTTTTAATCCCCATACTATTTTGTCATTTACAATTGCTTACGGTGAAAGAACACCAAATTTGCTTACATTAATTTCATGTGATTTTAAGGAATTAAGGGAAAATAGGGGATAAAAAAGACAGCTATGAAGAGCAATTGAGGAGCTAGGAACTGGTTGTAAACCTCCATAGACATCAATCATGTGGATAAGGCCAGTAGGTCTTAACTGGGACTTCATTCTCTACATGCCGACAAAGAAGTAAATAGTACAGAATTAACCAGGGCTCAAGAGGTTTAAAGCTTTTTAAACCTTAAATAATTTGTATGCATAGAAATGAATTATATTTTGCAGGCAGGAAATGCCACTGCATGAAACTCCGTAGGCTTTGCAGACAAGCAAGGTGTCACTGCTTATAAGCAGGTTCTCGAGTATTTGTGCCTGGAATGTGATTGTGCTTTGTACATTTGGTCAGAAAATATCCAATTGTGAAGATTTACTTCTGGCCCATCCACTTTGCTTTGGCTATGCTTACCCTGTCCTTATACTTGCACTCCCTGCTGGATTGCAATCTCATGCCTAGATCTTCATCCACTAAGGCCTTGTACTCTCTCTGCCTGCATACCAAGTTGCTGTTGTTTGAAATCTGCAAACCTTAAGTGTTCTCCTGTCCTGTTGACAGCACCAAACAGAGCCCTTTTCACAGCACTGTAGAGTTAGGAGGGACACTGGAGACTTGTGACTCAAACCCTACCAAAGGCAGACTCTGCAATTCAGGAGGAAGGCCCAGCATCATTTTACAGATGGTCACCCATATGGCACCTAAAGATATCCATCAAAGTCTTGCAGCAGGAATAGGCAAAGTATGGCCCGTAGGCTAGACCCAGCTCTGAGGGAAATAATTTGGCCTCTGAATGCAATTTCTTCCTCCAGCCCATTTTTTAAGGCCAAAATATATTTCACGCCCATAAAAACAGAGAGAAGTGCTGTAAGTTTGCTTGTTATGTGTTAGGAATAATACTGTGTCTTCCAAATGTATATTGAAACTGTGAGTATAGAAAGTCTCAAACACCAGTAATTTCTTTGCTTCAAATTCCCCATTTGAATAATATTTATTATATATTGAAAATATTTTTGCCCCACCTTTCTCTTTAAAAGGACCCAAGGTGGCTTACAACAAGTAAAAGTTAATATTTAAAAGAGAAAAACAGTAAGCATACAAATATTAAAAAGAATTAAACAACTGTTTGGTCAATAAAATCAATACTAAAAACACATTTAAAAACAACAGAGCACTACAATTCATTAAAAAAAAAACACCTCTCAGGCCACCAGTCACTAAGGAAAAGCCTGCCTGAAGAGAAAGGTCTTTGCCTGCTTGTGGAAGGACAGTAAAAACAGGGTCAACCTGGCCTCCTGTGGGAGGGAGTTCCAGAGGTTGGGAGCAGTGACAGAGAAGGCCCTCTTCCATGTCCCCATCAAGCATTCTTGTGAGGGTGGTGCGACTGAGAGAAAGACTTCTCCTGATGATCTTACTGCCCAAGCAGGCTCATTCAGGCTGTAAGAAAATTCCACGGAGGTAGCTGTGCTAGTCTGTTTCAGCAAAACAAACAAACAAACATACATACAAACAAAAAAAATGAAGAGTCTTGTGGCTTCTTTCAAACTAGGAGGTTTTATTGGGCACGTATAGTCCTGAACAACAAACAAACAAACAAACAAACAAAGAGTCTTGTGGCCTCTTTCAGACTAGGAGGTTTTATTGGGCACATATAGTCCTGAACTATAGCTGTAACCCTCTCATTTAGTTGCATATACAGTCCCGAAAAACCTATGCTCAATAAAACACGTTGGTGAGAAAGGTACCATGTGATCCTTCGTTGTTCAAGCTGTAAGATGTTTTAACATCTGAACAGGGTGTAAAATATTCTCTATACGTTTCATATAACTTGTCAGGAATTTCCACGTTTGCCCAGTTTATAAGGTTTTGTAATAAATACTGTTATTTAGATTGCAGGCTTATCCGCTTACTGAGGAATAGGCTCCACTGAATTCAATAGGCTTGCACTTTTACTCACTGGTTAATAGGAACTCTGTTAGAAAATGAACCAACATTCTTATGCAAGAAATCAGTGTTGACTTCCAATGAAATCTGTTACTATTCCAGTTTGTCTTCAAACTCACGACTGCCAAACAACAGGATCACTTCTTCCAGGCTTCCCATCTTGAGGAGAGAGATGTCTGGGTGAAAGACATCAAAAAGGCAATTAAGTGCATTTTGGGAGGTCAAAGATTTTCCAGGAAATCAACCAAGAAGTCAGTTAATCTTCCTACAACAATCAATTTGAGGTTTGTGAAAAGTTCACTTTCAGTTCTTTCCGCCAGGAACAGCGATTTATGTAGTCTTCATGGATGCTCTTGGGCTCCCTGAAATGGATGTTTTCATGGTAACTTTGAGTGAGCAAGGAACAAAATTCTTTTGGTTACTTAGGAGACAAATTACCTGTCTTCTTCATACAACATTGTTTTGGTGCTTTGTGTGGTAGTGCTTGCAGTTGCATTTGACAAAGAAAAATAGCTTTGGGAGATGGAAATTTGACGTAGAGAAGCTCTAGTGTGGTTGGAGAGGTGTGCAATCATCTCTCCAACCTTCTGTCCCCCAAATAATTGCTTTTTCTGCTTTTTAACTGCTTTTTCTGTGTGTCTTCCAAGTGCATGCTGAAACTCTGTATAAAGAAAGTTCAAACACCAGTAATTCCTTTGCCTCAAATTCCCCATTTCCAAAAGCAGCTGTAAAATAGAGGGGAAATGGTGTGGATGGGTCAAATTGTTTGTCAAAGATAACCCATTGCTGGAAGAGATAATTCCTTAACTACTGATAGCATCTGTCACAGCAGGAACTTTCTTTTGTTTTCTGCAGTTCATAAATTAGCATGCAGTGTTCTGTGATTGATCTTCTGGATCTAAACTTTGCTATGTTTTAGGGTTACAAAAAGAGAGAAACAGGTTGCAAGTATAGTTAGCAGCTAAAATAAGGAGACTATCGAAAGAACATAAGAGATCAATATTCACCAAATTGAGAACAACTAAAGCAGAACTAAGTGACATGGTGGCACTGTGGGTTAAACCACAGAAGCCTCTGCGCTGCAAGGTCGGAAGACCAGCTGTCATAAGATCGAATCTATGTGATGGAGTGAGCCCCCGTCGCTTGTCCCAGCTCCTGCCAACCTAGCAATTTGAAAGCATGCAAATGCAAGTAGATAAATAGGTACCACCTCAGTGGAAAGGTAACGATGTTCTGTGTCTAGTCATGCTGGCCATGTGACCACATAAACTGTCTACAAACGCTGGCTCTATGGCTTGGAAACGGGGATGAGCACCACGCCCTAGAGTCAGACATGACTGGACATTTGTCAAGGGGAACCTTTAACTTTACATGTTTGATATAATGAGACAGTCTAGGTGGATGGGGAATTCCATAGGGCAGGGGTCAGGGAACTTTTTTACCTCCCGCCCCCAAATTTATATATGCACGGCCCTGCGGGGGCGGCTCCCCTTCTCTGCCAGCGGGCGGCTCCTGGGTGGGCATCAAAGAGAAGCAGATGGCTCACCCGCCAGGGGTGCCCAATTCCACCTCTCGCTCCAGCACCAGTTTGCCGGGGTAGTTGCGTTGGGCCTTGGCATCGGCCCGACTGCTGCTGCTGCCTGACAGGCTCCTCTGGGGATGGGGCGTGGGGCAGCGTCAGCTATGTCCTGGTACCAGGAGGGTGAGCCTGGGCTGGAAGGAGAGGCTCCTCCTGGCTGGGGTGCTCCAACCGCTTGGCCTGACCTTGCCTTCCACCATGGCTGACCCCGCTGCCACCACCTCGGCTGCCCTATGTCGCTGGCTGGGGCCCGTCGCCAGCTGCCATCCACCGTAGCTTGGTTGCAGCCGGGCCGGAGAAGGGGGCAGGAAGGGGGCGATTGGGCAGCCAGGGACCCCCTCCGGGCAGAAGAGGAGGAAGAGGATGAGGATGGAAGGGGGTTAGGGTTGCGTCCTCATTACCCCCAGGATTTTCATTTTTATCCCATTTTGGGTAATTTACCCCTGTTTCCCAACCACTGCCATAGGGCAAGAACAACATTTTCCCCCAACCTAAAATAGTGCCCTGGCTAGTAAGCTAAAGCAGGGGTCCCCAATCCTCAGTCCATGTCCCGGCTGCAGTCCATGGCCTAGGTAGGACCGGGCCGTGGACACAGATCTCCTCCCGCTCCCCCGTGAGCTCCAGCCAACACAGCCAATGGCAAGAGGCCACGGGAACTGAAGTCTAAAATACCTGGAGGGCCACAATAGTCTCTTCAAAATTTTGACCTTTAAGCAGCCTTCTTGAACTGTATCATGTTCCCCCTGCATGATGTATTCTTGTTGGTACAGCACCCAATCTAAGCATGGTAGCTGGTGGCTATATCTGGTAACCACCAGGGGAAAGTAAAGAAGAATTTTGGAAAATAGTCTTGAATAGAACCGGAAGGAAGTGGCTTGTTTTATATATGGACCTTTGAAGGATATCTGGTAACCAGCAAAACATGACCAAGGTCCTTTAATCAGTGGGCCATTAAACACAGAAGGTGGCTGGGCCCTTTTGGTGCTATTGTAGAACAGAAGTGGACCCTTAACGTTTTCACACAATTGTTTTAGAATACAGGGGAAAAAAACAATTTGCAAATAATTGCTTTCCAATTCACCACGGTTTCCTAATGACTGGTCAATATTTTCTGTCCACAGTACTTTGTATGTCTCGATGAGGGACCCTGACAAAGGCATAAGAGAAATGAAGCTAGAAAAAGACAAGAAAATGTACAATCACTGTTTTACAGGTAGAAGGCGTTCATTTCCAAAATTATAAAACTTTGAAAGCACACATCTGAGTGGAACACTCACTAAAAAGAATGATTGCCACTCACCATTAGATGTACGTATAAGAAGCAAAATTGGAGAGAAAATTTCAAGTGTATGTATAAAATAGCAGAACCATCTCAGATCTCATGGAGGGTTGAAAAATATCATAATGAAATAAAGCAGAATGGGACTATGAAAGGGATGACTGTTGAAAATATGATGAAAAAGAATGTAACCTCATCTTTATGCTTAGAAGAAGATCAGTGTTCAATAAAGGGCTAGTATGAGGTATATTGTTCTTGTGACAGGACAACCTGGACCAGCCATTCTCAACAGGGACCATAGGGCCCTCTGGGGCTCCCTGGAACATTTGAAGGGGGCCACAGACTGGAAACAATTCTTCACCCGCCAAATTATGAGGCTCATTATGCAACTTATACCATCCTGATTTGGCCTTTTTTTTTTTTCATATTGTATTTATAGCCGTGGCCAAACAAAAGATGAAAATGGCTGAACTAGGCTGTGAGACTGTGGCATTTCTACTTTTGTATAAACCAGAAGATAAAAACGCCAATTTCCCCCTCAAAGATTTGTGATGGTGAAATTCTAGTCAACGTCAACAATGAGCAATTCTCCTCTCAAGCCATCTGGAAAGTTCTGGTGTGGAGTCTTTACTCCAACTGCAAAATTATACTGGTTACTCAGCAGAATGGAAAACAGTTATACATTTCCTTTATGTTCACCAGAACATTAATAGTCACATTGATGGTTTGATTAAAAATTGGCAAAAAAAGGATCCTTGTCTGCTTTTCATTCCCCTAAAACACTGCTGGATCAAAAGAGCTTCAGAGAATACTGGGTGCAATTCTACTTATTTATGACAATTGCCAGTTACTGTGCCCATTAAAAAGATGGTAGCACCTAGCAGGAATTTCAGAAAGGTTTATTATGGGTTTCATATTTCTGCACCGTAATTGTCATTTGCATAAAGCTCAGTTTTACAGAGAATAGAGTCCATCCATGTCTGTAATTATGAAAGGTGTGTGTGTGCGTATGTGTGCGTGTTTTGCAGTTGTCAGTTGACAGTCCTTGGTTTGCTTCCTTATTCCTAGGTAGTCACGTGATTGACTGGCTATTGTCAAGCAACTTCATCCAAAATCGCCAAGAAGGTCTAATGGTGGCATCTGCTCTGCTGAACGAAGGTTATTTTCAGCCTGCTGGGGATGTAGCTAAAAGTGCAGTTGAAGGCCTGTCAGAAACTTCCTTCCTTGATGATGAGGATGCCTATTATTACTTTGTAAGTGTTAAAGCATGGGCCATTTTTACTTGATGAGGAGAGCCTGAGCTAATGCAGCATTCTCCACATTGTTGTTTAACTCTATGGGCCTCTGTGAAATGCTGAGAGAGGAGGCATCCTCTGGCCAGACCACGGGCCACTCCACATCTTTGTCTAGCTGTTAGAATGCTGGAATGTACATCCAAGAACCTTCCAGAACCTCCTGGGTGGAGTCCCCACTAATATTTAGTGAAGGTGCCTCATCGTTGTTCCTTAGTGCAGACTGATCATTCCGCACTCTCACTGTACATGAGACCAAAACCGAAGGGTGTATATATATCTAGCATTCCCCATCCCCAGAAAAGACCCTCTTAAAGAGAATTCCAAATTTGCAGCCTGAGACTGCCTTCATGATTAGGATGGCCTGACTTTCATTTCAAAAGTTACATCAGAATACTTTCTCATCTCTCAGAATGAAGATGATTTTTGATTCAGGCACAGGTTGTATTTTTTTTAAAAAAAAGCTATCATAATTAACTCTTGACTGATCTAGGTTGTTTTGGTAACATCTCTGAATTAATCACAGATAAAATAAGAATGAGCTCTACCTCTTAGCTTCCAAGGCCTGCCATTTGACTCTTCCTGACCCCAGATAGCTCACTGTAGGTATCAAAGCTGGGCAGAGGGAAGTATTAAACTAACAGTGTATGGAGAGGTGAGAAAAGATGGACTTTATTTCATCTTCTGTGTACTTGTTTAATGATAAAAGTGAACCTCTCAAATCCTTCTTTGTCCCCAACTGGCAACATGTATAGCAAGCACATTACAGTGGTGCCTAGCTAGACAGTTACCCCGCATGACAGTTTTTTCACTAGACATTGGCTTTTTGTGATCACTATAGCGATTCGCAAAATAGTGATTCCTATAGGGAAAATTTGCTGGACAATGTTTGGTCCCTGCCTCGCAAACCGATTTTCGCTAGACGACGATTTTGACAGCTCCCTCTGCGCTCGCAAACAGGTGTTTTCGGGACCTAAGCTTCGCAATATAGCGATTTAAACAGCTGATTGGCAGTTCGCAAAGCGGATTTCCTATGGCCAATCTTCGCTAGACAACGACGATTCTTCCCCATTGGAACACATTAAACAGATTTCAATGCATTCCAATGGGGAAATGCTTTTCGCTAGACAATGATTTTGCTAAACAGCGATTTCAGTGCAACGGATTATCATCGTCTAGCAAGGCACCACTGTATAAACATATCTGTCCTGAGAGTTTGCAACCTTGCCTAGCAACATTGCATGTGTTATAGAGATAGATATGGATATAATATGGGCCATGTTCTATTGTTGAATAGCATGAACCTGTTTCCTTTGACCCACTTGTCAGCAAGTTGGAAAAAAGACCTCCTGTAATTCATATGCTACAGTTTTCTCCTTAGAATGGAGATCCCTGAAAAGAACTCTTAAAATAATTTCCTCCACTTCAAAGAGCAAGAATAGCACTTACATTACAGAACACATTTTTAGGAAAACACCTATTTCTTCCTTTTTTCAACTATCCCTACAGACATGCAGATCCTTCTGCACCAAGTGCTTGAGACATCAGACATGCAAACAATGTTGTGTAATCTCACAGTTCTGCAATTACAAAAGAAACACAGGTTAATTGCTATGTTTCCCACCCAAATGAAAGAAAACTGTTTAGATGCATAGGATAAAGTCAATCAAAGGGAAGGGACAGTTTTCTGCAGAAGTAGAGTTTTTTCACATGTTGCCAGTTGCTTACATATACCTTTCTATAACAAACAACCTTTCTCAGTTTTGCAGTATTTGTTGGTCCTATCTGCCACTTTGTTTCGGTACAACAGAGTGAATTCTTTCAGGAGACATTTAGCAGCATGAGATCTTGCATGTTTTCAAACAGGCAGACAGTGGCTTTTTCTGTGAAGGAAACTCCAGTGATGATGATGGCATCTTCAAGGAGGAATTCAGAGGAATTGTGGTCAAGCAGGGATGTCTATTGAAACAGGTTGGTGTATATACCTTGTATATTGCAATTACACAGAAAATAAATTCATGCAATGCAAATCTATACAGTGACCTTGGATGTTCAGAGAGGGGGAGGAGGCCTCACAGAGCTTGGATCCATTGCCTGTATGCAGCATCATTGTGTTGCAAATGGCAATCAGCTGATAGTGGGTGCCCAGTAGTTTTTACAGAAAACTTGCCTCGCTCCTCCGTCTTCCCTGCATGAAAGGCTCAGCCATCCCCAGTTCTGGATATTTCTTTCTTCAGAGTGTGCTCAGCACACAAACTGCTTGGCAAGGCAGAAACATATACCAGTTTATGAAGCACGAATGATGTGAAAAGTTCTCCCTACAAGCAATTTGAGTGCTTTCTTGCAACTATGTGTATCAGTATAAAAGATATATTGCAAGCAGCTCCAGGAATTGTGTTAGAATGCAAACTATAGTGGGACAGAAATGCCAAGAGGCTATCAGTCTTTGTGTAGTCAGTCAATATCTAGCTCCTGTTATGAATACGTGAAGCTCCTAGTATGGATATGACATCTTCAAATGTCTGATGGCAGTCTGATTTTGCACAATTCCAAAGAATTGCCACACCAAAATCAGGTAGCGGGCACAGAGATATTTAAAAGCACATGGCTGAGAGTTTTACTTAACTTATATTGTCTTCATGAGTATTTGAGAAGTTGCCCAACCCAGAGGAAATGCAATAAAACCACAGCATAATTTGGATCATCAGTTTTTGACAAGCAGTTTGAGGAAAGTTCAAACATTTTTGCTGCTTAGATCTAATACCCTGGTCAAAGTGCATGAGTGGGGGAACCTTAACCACAATAAATCTCAACCCCTCTCCCCATAATTAAATCAGGTGATTTATTTTATTTCATTTTAAAAAATCTCAAAACTGTTTCTTGGAAAAATCCGGTAATATTCCCTTTCATGCTTCTTTTGCTCTTTGAATTACTTCAGTATAAAACCAAATTTCTCTTGAAACAATTAAGGCAGAAGAATGGCTCTGAAACTGTCTTAACGAAGACTTTTCAGTTTTCAAATTAATATATAATGCTTAGAATATACATACAATTCAAGAAAACAGATTGTGGTCAAAAGTACACTTCAGATTATTAAGACTATTAAAAACCAGTGTCTGAGCTTCAGGTCTAAATTCAATCTGTAATTCAAAGAGTAGACAATTGAACCCACTGCTGTAAGGGAAATCAACACATAAAATAATAGGACATTTTGGAGGTCATTAATCCATCGGGCTATCAAGCTGGAAGTGGCTTAATAGCAAAAATAATGCCAGAAATCTGTTGATTCAATATGTCTAGTTGAAACTACCAACTGGATTAAGAGTGTAATATTCTACTATACAGACGTTTTAGATACTCAACTTTTGACAAAGAAACAATACATTTTTTTCTGCACATCTTGGTTTATAAAACATAATCCCTAATGAAACCTTTCCCAAAAATATTATTTGCAAATGTGACATTTAAGTACCAGCAATACTGACAGGATCATTTTTGGATACTATCGAAAGTTTGATTCAGAGATCTCTTTTAACTTCATTCTTTCAAATTACAAAACATAAGTCACTCAATTGTCATTTTAATTTGATTTAGGGGCATCGGAGGAAAAACTGGAAAGTACGGAAGTTTGTGCTGCGAGAGGACCCTGCCTACATGCACTACTATGATCCTGCTGGGGTAAGCTCACTCTTGGTGGTTTTGTTGGCGTGTGTTCCAAAGTGCATTCAAAAATGAAGTTGCCTTTGAAAACTGTATGATTGATATGAGTAACTAACTGGTGGAACTTCTGATAATAAACATCTTTAAAACTATATTCAGGTTCCTTGTATTAATGTTATTTAAGTGCTAGAGACATCTATCACCATGGAAGTAGTGTGCCATTGTTAATACTACTTACATCCATTTTACTTCTGTCCCTGTTCAGATGTGTTACTTATGTGGTAGTGCTTAAAATATCTGCCCTACCTGTTCAACAGGTAGACAGCAGAAGATAAATTTTGAAGTGTGAATGCACAGCACTCCTTACACAATAATATCCCTCTATCCGATTTTCTTAAAATACACTTTTTCTTCAAAAATACTTTGTTTGCGTCCTGAAATCTCCACTGCCAGGGCATTCTCATTCATCCTGCCCCACCCCACCTTCTCCAAGATACTCATGTTCATGAGAACTGGCCTTCATAAAGAAAAATTTGTCTAGGGACCAATAGCTGGCAAAGGCACATGTCATATATGACAATGAAGATGGTTTCCCTAGAAAGAGTATGGTGGCCAGAATCTTATTACATATTTACACCAGCATAACTCCATCAGCAGTACCTTTAGAAGCAAATTGTCACAATTTAATTGATGATAACTGTGTGCTGTCAAGGAGTCAGCATAGCCATTTCTTATCACATGCTGAGTCATATAACTGGCATGTGATAGGAAATGGTTATGCAGGATTCTGGCCGCTCTTTCTGACCATGGCCCATGGGTGTTCCATTTAGCAGTTAAATGGTGGTGACCAGTAAACATCATGCTTATCATCCATGATTTTGTCTCAGTCTTTTTTTAAAAAGTCATCTGAACTAGTGACTGCCACGGTGTCCTCTATTATTTATATATGCAGTGTGTTAAACTCCTGTGATATCCAGTCTTGGATGCTGTGAAGAGAATGTAGGTCTGGGTCCACTAGCACATTGGTTCCCAGCCTTGGGCCTCCAGATATTTATGGACTTCAACTCCCGGACATCCTGGCCAGCAGAGGTGGTGGTGAAGGCTTCTGGGAGTTGTAGCCCTAGAACATCTGGAGACCCAAGGTTGGGGACCACTGCACTAGCAGATTTCTGGGTGATACAGTAGATTAACAAGGGTTCCCGCCTCCCAACAATAACAACAGCAACAATACAGTGGGGTCTTGACTTCAGAACTTAATCCGTATTGGAAGGCGGTTCTCAAGTCAAAAAGTCTGTAAGATTTCTGGGTGATACAGTAGATTAACAAGGATTCCTGCCTCCCAACAATAACAACAGCAACAATAACAATATGGTGTAACACTCTCTATTCCCCAGCTATGTTGCTCAAATGAAGAAAGAGAGAGTTTGGTCTCCTGAGGAGTGGATTATTGTTGTTATTGTTGTTCTAGTTGATGAAAGCACTGTGTTCTGTCTTCACTTCTAGAATTTAAATTCCTTATTTTAGAATTCTTTTGTTCTTTCACTGTTGTACCAGGTTCTAGCCGATGGATCTTGGTGTTCTGGTAAAACATTAACTAAGGGATAAGTAGTAGATTCCACAAGCCAGAACTCTTCCCACCCACTCTCTATTCCCCATTTAGGGTGCTCAAATGAAGAAAGAGAGAGTTTGGTCTCCTGAGGAGTGGATTATTGTTGTTATTGTTGTTCTAGTTGATGAAAGCACTGTGTTCTGTCTTCACTTCTAGAATTTAAATTCCTTATTTTAGAATTCTTTTGTTCTTCCACTGTTGTACCAGGTTCTAGCTGATGGTATTCTAGTAAAACATTAACTAAGGGATAAGTAGTAGATTCCACAAGCCAGAACTCTTCCCACCCCTGCTGGAATGCACACTATGAAGAGTTCCCTTCAAATTGACTTGGCTGCTTCTGCTGCTTCAGAAACTTGCTCATTTCTGAATGGACAATGGGAGACAAGAACAACAGTCCTATGTTCTCCTTGTCTTCTAGGCTGAACATCTTGCACTTCCCTTTAAAGCCCTCCCTTATGTGTGATTTGCATAATGTAGAGAGCACCTTTCCTGAAACTTGTGTCTTACAGTATAATCTTGAACATACCTATAGATTGGCCTGTCGTTAACATACTATAAAAACTATTCCGTTTAAATCTCAGTATGAATCTGCATGCTTTCTGAAGGCCCAGCCCATTACCATAGCAGAACTGTTCCTGTAAGACCTTTGTTGTTATTTTCCTGAGGGTACGGATTAACCCAGATTAAGCTAATTTGGAAGCTTCTTTGGCTCATCAGGGGATGGTGTAGTTTGTTTTTGTTTGTTTGTTTTTTGCACCATGCCTTTTTGTTTTTCTTCCATCTTTCCTGACCTTACTGCTAATATATTTATGACAATAAACAGCATGTGCTAGAGAAAATAACTTGTTTGTTAAATTTTCTCCTTGTAGTTTTCTCCTTGCAGTGACTATCTATGTCAAATCTTTTCCCTCTTGCCTTCCTTCAAACTGTTTGGTTTTCCTTTCGTTTCTTCTTCTTCCACAACCTGCATAACAGAACAACACCATCTACCTCATTGGTTCCAGCTGCAATCTAAAATGAAGTCGCAAATACATTTTTCTCAGAAGTAAAGTTGCATTGTTTGGAATGTGTTTCAGGGAGAAGACCCACTTGGAGCCATTCACTTGAGGGGTTGTGTAGTGACAGCAATTGAAGATACACCAGATGGTAAGCACTAAGTGTGAGCACATAGACTGTCATACGTTCAGTACAAATCTATTCAGCTGGCAGTACAGTAGCTGCATTTTCAATGTAGTCAGGGCTTTGAAACAAACAAATACTTCTGTAAACTGGCTGAATAGCTCAGTGAGTTGAGTATCTAGGTACAGAGCAATGGGTCAGGAGTTTGATTCCCTGCTATGCCTCTCAGGAGAAAAGCTTGGGCAAGCTGCATAGTCGCAGAGCATTTCCAGAAGAATGGAATGATAAACCACTTCTTAGTACTCTATACCTCGAAAACCCTGGAATAGGTTGCCACAAGTCAGAATTGTCTTGATGGCATATAATCACTGGAGCCGGCATTTCCATGCAGGCAGATGTGATTCATCCAAGTGATTCTGTTGCCTGAGGAGGAAAAGATGGCCCCTCCCCATTTGATCTTTGTGGGTGGTACAGGCTCATACTGTACTCTGTTTTCCAATGGAGGGGGTCAGCCAGGGAATTTCTCTTCAGGCAAGCTTTCCCTTAATTTCCTGGCTGCCTGAATGAGGTTTTATAATAGATGGTTGGGCCTTGAATGTTTTTTTGGTGTTGCTTTTGTTTACTGTCTTTTAGTTTGGCATTTACATGATCCTTTTTTAGTATTTGTTTACTTATTGTTATTAGCTTTAAATTCATTTACATTTTAATGATGTAAGCTGCCTTTGATCCTTTTTAAGGAGAAAGGTGGGATAAAAACTATTTTAAGCAAACTAATTAACTCAGGAAGAGTAACTGTTGTTACAATCCCTCCTCACCAGCACCCAAAACCTGAGGCAAATGCCTCATTCTGCCTAAAGGAAACAAAGGAAACACTGGTTCTATTATGGCACACACATCAAACCAGCATTTCTTTCTCTTAAAATGATAATGAAAAGTAGGTCCACCCCCATTAAACACTGAACATTTAGCAAGAAGAGATGTTTTTGAGAATGTCCATGTTCAAAACTAGTTATGTTTTGACTTACTGCAAGGCAATGATGAATAACAGCATATGGCTGATCTTTTTGCAATCTGCAACTGGGGACAGATTTGGCTCCAGGGAGAAGAACGCAGATTTCTATTCTGTACTTGCTTGCCTGAGATTAGCAACACATTAAACCCAGTAGATTCCATCTAATGGTGGTTTTGTTATAAATGAAAGTAGATTTGCATGCCTGTGGTGGGGCACTCTACTTTCACCCATTTGCCCTATCCACAGTCACTCCTTGTTACCCTGAAGAGCGATCCTAGAGATAAAAGAAACTGTAATTGCTGCTGCAAGAATTCAGAAGAGGACTGAGACTTTGAAGGGCAACTATAGAGAAGTTAGAAAAGAGCATCAAGTGTAAGGATGTGTCATTAGAGACCAGAGCCAAGATCATCCACACAATTACAGTACTGTATATTTCCTTCACTCATTCATTTCTTTCCCTCATCATTAGGAAAGAAGAATGAAGTTGGGGGCAACTTGTTTGAAATCATTACTGCAAACGAAGTCCATTATGTCTTGCAAGCTGCCACCTCCACTGAGCGGACGGAGTGGATCAAGGCCGTCCAGCTGGTTGCCAGGACTGGAAAGTGAAGAACCTCAAACTTCAGCCCCTCCCCCCCAAAATGCCTTTTATTCAAAGGATTTTTTTTCTGGCAACACTTTGTAATATTGCTCATATATTAGTTCCAGAGTGATTTTATTTTTAAAAACCTTTCTTTGATAAAAGTTTGACTTAGATTCATCACAGTATTTAACTCACTTGTGTCCTGTTGGCTTTCTCTAGCCAGTCATCATCTAAAACAGAAATATTTGTTATATCAAAATGTTGTGTAGTTTTGTCGTTTACCATTAAGGAAAGCTAAGCAGATGCATGAGTAAGTGTTCTCGGCCTTATGATTTCTGCATTTGATATTAGCACACAAATATTGTTTGTGAGAAGTGTTTTGCATAAAGTCACCACTGAAGTTCTTTGTGTTATTCTGGTATCAGAATAATGACTAACATTGGCATGCAAATACACATTTGAGGATTTAAAAATTAACCTTTCCTCACTCTGTTTATATTTTTATAAAGGATAGCAGTGACTGCTTTATAGTGAGGGTGGGGAGGAAGGGACTTTTGCACAGTATTCAGATGACTATTCATGATCAGGCAGACACACAGAGGTTTGCAAGTAAGCAGACACTGATATTTGCATACTACAGGACTAACTACATCTCTGATAAGGTAGCAAGAACAGGCTGGCTGACTATAGCCTGAGACACGTGGAATAGTAGTCTGCTGGGCCCATCTCCACTGGGTAGACCAATTCTGAAAAAACAAAACTTGCAGCTCTAACATGTTGGATCAGTTTATGTATCAAATGCTTTCATTCTGCATTTGTTTAGGGAAACATGATAATTACTGTTAATTTTAGGAGACCCACAGTAATTTTATTGATTAGTGTTCACTGTCTTAGGTCACTGCATTAATGGATAAATAATTGCAACTGCACCGGTATAAACAATGAATCCAGCAGGTCTGAGAATCTATAGCCAATTTCTAATCCTGGTCCCAATTAGAAAAGACCTATTGACTCAGTAGTTTACCTTCTAGCCACTGACTCAATTGGTCTGTGCTCTTGTTGGGATTAGCAATGGGATACCGACCCATGCATACACATTTCTGAAGATTTAAGCATCTGAAACATATTTATTATGTATGTTTCACACTTACAAAGCTCTGTTGCTTGCTTCAGCATAGTAAGTTATAGCTACAGTAGGTCCATCTGATTCAACATCTGGAGGAGCTGGCTCACTGAATTCCCATTGATCCAATAGGCCTACTCCAGTGCGATTTATCTAAGTAACAGGATTTTGGCCAGCATTTGCCATTTTACCATGCAACTTCCACCAGATGGATTCCAACCAATTTGTAATAAACTCCATATAATGGGTTGTCCACAAAGAGCAGAAAGCTAGAAAAAAATTGATGGTTGTAGGTTTTTTGGGCTCTTTGGCTGTGTTCTGGAGGTTTTTCTTCCTAACATTTCACCAGTCTCTGTGGCTGGCATCTTCAGAGGACAGGAGCTAGAACTCTGAACACAGAACCCACAACAACCATCGGATCCCGGCCGTGAAAGCCTTTGAGAATACCTAGAAAAATTGTTGTTAAAGCTTTCCTCCCAGGAGTTAAAGGTGACATATACTAATTTATCGTCACAGCAACCCTGTGAGAAAAGTTGATCTGAGAGTCAGTGATGGGTCTCCCCAGTCCTAATCCTACATTCTCAGTGGTTCCCATCCTGGGAGTACTACTCCCAGAAACCCCATCTATCATAGCTAGTGGTGAAGGCTTCTAGGAGTTGTTGTCCAAGTACCTCTGGGGACCCATGGTTGGGAATCACAGCTCTAACTGCTGGAACAAAAGTCTTTAGTTATTAAATGGGCATGTTTTTAAAATTAGGTTGCTTATAATGCCTTCCTTTTAAAAGCATGACCATGGTGGCCAGTATCCAGTTCATTATTTAAGCTCGCAGAAGTCCTGCTGTGAATGTTGTGGTGATCTGACAAGGTGCTAGTCAGGTGCCAGGTTGGGTGCCCATCAGATCATCAAGACAGCTTCTGCCGCTAGATTTCCAAACCAGTGTTTTTATCAAACTACACAGATACTGTCAAGTGTGTGGACAAGATTAATTTAGGAAGGTTGTATGAAAGTGGAATGAGTTCAGGTCCTTGTTATTAGACTGAATTTCACAATTTTTTTTATTTCGTCATGCCCCTGCCCCCTTCCACCCAATTACTCATCAGGAAGAAGCAAACTGATGAATCATCAATACTGCATTAAAGAAAAACTGATATCCACTTCATGAACTTGGCAACCCCTGATCTCCCCATTGATGATTCAAATAAATTCTATGAAAATCATTGTTAAGCTCTGAACCCATTTCCCTCTTTTTCCTTTCTAAACCCTAAAAAAAGAGCATATCCCTCCTAGGTGAAATGGCAGACTGGTACATTATTTCATTTATAAATAACATTTCAGCCTCTGCTATCTAGGACTATGTAGACTGATCATGTCTAAATGTGGTGCAACTAATATATAGCAGCTGGAAGAGCAAAATTGTGTCTACCAGCCTCTGAGCCCACCAAATGACCACATCCTGGCTGTAACTGGCTATAGACTGGTGTCTCCACGTATAAAGCATGCATATAAATCAAAACATCCTTTCCTGTGTTTCTTGTTTTGGACTTTGCCAGCCTCTGAGCCCACCAAATGACCACATCTGGCTGTAACTGGCTATAGACTGGTGTCCCCACATATAAAGCATGCATACAAATCAAAACATCCTTTCCTGTGTTTTTTGTTTTGGACTTTGCTTGGACACAACTTAACAATTGAACAACAACAACAAATGTATTGGGATTAACAGGCATATCCCTAAATGGTAAAATGTTGGGGAATTTCCAGTTAATGACTTTCCTTCTAGCTGAATTTCCATGGCTACTGTATAGCCTGATGAAGAGTCCTACAGAGCTTGAAAGCCTGCATATTTTGTGCATTTACAGTTGATCCCAATACAGCTGTTGTCGTTTTATGGATCTTGGAGTTTGAACTCAATTTTGTGATGTTTATTATTTTATAATTGCTTTCAGGGTAGCCAAAATGCAACTGCTTCAATTTGTCTACCGTACTTTAATCATCACTCAGCAGTATATATAGATGTAACATTCACTCTAACAATATTGAACATAATGTTTGTGCCTTATGTGACACTATGTTGCATTCAACTTATGGCGACCCTAATAGTTTTAATATTTTTCAAATCATTATTTTCAAAGTATGTACAGTATAGCAGATATTTAAGAAATAGTTTTATCAGTGAGTTTCCACAGTTAACTGAGGACTAGAGCCTAGGTTTCCTGAAGCCTAGTCACTCTATCCACTACATCACATGGTCTCTCACTGAACAAAATACTGCATTTCTTTATTTAGCCCATTAGATAGCCAGCTGTAAAAAAAAAAATACACATGAAAATAGAGAAAATTCATTAAGAGCGCCACTACTTTAAGACAGTTCTGGGGGCTCTGCCTTTTCCTCATTATTACTGAGCTGTGAAAGTTTTCGTTCTGTGGAAATCTGCTCACAGCAAGACTCTCCTTGAAAACCATCAACACTGACAGGACCACCACATGTCAGTGGCAACATAACTAAAAGGGAAGCCGGGGAGGAAGACAAAGTTTGCTTGTTGAGCCGTTGCCTTCTTGATAATTGCTGTGTGGTTGTTACCACTGAAGCTTTTACATCTAAAAATATGTTGTCATGCTGGAAACCCAAGAAAAACAGGAACTATTTCTTTTTCTTTAAACAGATATGTGAAGTGTCAAAATTGCCAAGTGGTCATTGGGGCTAGAAAACATACTGATCCATATCACAGAGGCTCATTTATATCTATACATGTGGATTTAGAAACAAAGATTGCAATTCAAATAGAGTTACCATAAATTTTTACAAAAATTGCAAAAACTGCGATGAGAGGCCTGCTTGGAGAGCAGACCAGGGCCTGATGATAAGCAACTTCAAAGCATCTGTTCTCTCTTCTTCTGATGGTTCCTTATCGTTAAAATGGATTATAACAGAAACAAACAGCTGGGATGACTTAGCTAGTTTTCATATCTTTATAGTTATGTGACAGCCACTATGGTTTCCCATGCTTAACTATGCCTCAGAATAGGCACATGTGTGGAATAGGGTTGATGTCAGTGTAACAGCAGTCACTTACCTGATTAGCAATATGCCACATATCGTCATATTTACACATTTATGGAGGTATAAGAACAAAATAGGGGTACATAAAATGAATTTCAGCCACATGCCTTGAGGCCATTAGAGAACTGCATAAATTAAATCAACATAAAAATAGCTGAAGTTGGGGAAGAAGGAGGATCTCTCTGCTTGGATTTCCTCTAGCCTCCATGCATTGATCTAAATCTGCACACCAGATCCAGTATTTCGGAGAGAGGCTTGGACTGGGTTCACATTCAGCAATAATGTTTTAAAATGATGACTATACATTTTATGTGCATATACAGTATGTATGTACAGTACACAAGAAAGGTACCTAAACTGGGTTTTTGTTGTTGTCAACCCACAGTAATTAGGTTGGTAGTGGATCACTGCAGAACTCTATCTAGAAATGCCTAAAAATTAATTACATGTCCAAATGAAATTTGCTAGATGTTCCTTGCTTTACCAACTTGCCTCTTGCAATGTCCTTGGGTGCCAGCTTGGTTGCAATACTGTTAACCTCAGTCTTGCTGAATTCCTTCCTCCGTTTCTTCTTTTGATGCCTTCCCATATATTCCTTCATTGACATTTACTGAACACAGGAAAAAGTTCAGAAGCCTTTGTCACATGGATTGATTCATTGGGTTTTAAATACTTTAGTTAATGTGAGTGAATTTTAAATATTTACTCTTCAGCTGAATTGGCTCTCAAAAAGGCTTCTATGAAGTCAATACAAACAAGACAGTTAAACAGCTGTCTTACAGTAGAAATCTATTCAGTTTGATCTCCTGTGGCTTCTGGCTTGATTCTGGATAAAAGGTTTTTTATCCGTGTGTTAATTAGGTAATCAGTGTCACATGGTTTATGTTCTCACACACACACCTTAAGAATTGCCACTATTAATGACATAATTGTCACTGTCTGTACATCCAACCTTCATTTCCCTCCAGTTTTACTATTTACACTCAACTGCCACCATAGAGATGCAACTTAGGATAACACTTCATGCATCTCGTGGAGTGAATTCTAGTCTATGAAAGAGTTGGTCTTCAAGATGTCACAGGGTTTTAGGTTGTTCTCCAATTACTGGTCACTATCTAATCATATTTTTGCTGGTCATGCTTTAGAGCTGGAGACAGAAATGGTTTGCCTATTGTTCTGCTGACATAGTACTCAATAGAAAGCAGTGTTCTAGGCAGCTGCATTGCATTGCAACCCTTCATTTACTTCCCTCTGCTTTTTAAAGATAGACATAGTTGTTGATTTACAAGAATTAAAAAGGGATCCCTTTTGCTTCAAATGTATGTATTTAGTAACCTTTAAAGGGGTTTTCACTGAATGATGCAATTTTGTGCTTCTGCCTCAATAACCACAAATGACAGGAAATACAGCTGTTAATTCTTTTACAACATTATCTCAACCACAGAGCCTGTTCTTCACATGCTAGTTTTGGAATTTTTCATCCATCTCTGTATGTTAATATGCTCCCACAATTCTGTTCTGAAAATGTTTTCTGAGGATATAAATTCCAGAATGTATAATAATGAAGAATGTAGTGTACATGTGGAGTGAAACTATTTACAGCAAAGGAGCAGAAGGTTTCAATAGAACCACAAAATAAATCAATAGTGGTTGATGTTCATTGTGGTTTGTGGAGCAGAAGGCAGGAGTTATTTTCTCTTCCTTTTTTATCACACAAATGCATGCACACATGCACACACACAAACATATAGGTAAGCAAGTACTCACACATGCACACAGGGAGGCAGTAAATGGTTGAGGCAAGGCAACGCATGCACACATGCACACACACAAACATACAGGTAAGGCAATATCCCATTTTCCTGCTGCAGAAGCCACCAGTGAATGGAAGGCAAACAACTTCTACCTATCTCCCCTGCAGCTCCAGTAATCCCAACAAAATTTCTTCAGGAGGTCAAAAAATAGCCCGCCAAACACTGTGGGCTATTTTTAAGTGTCCTAGCAGGAAGGAAAACATGCCAGGTAGCATGCAGAGAACTCTTTATTAACTCCCAGCCTTTCTATGAAGAAAGGTCCCTGAAGATAGCTAAATCTTGCATGAGTTGTTCAAGGTTCCCAGTTTCAGTAATTCCCCTGTCCCAGTGCAGCTGTAAAGGGGCAATATGTAAAATCTCCTTGACTTTCTGGAGAGATGAGGGCTGCCCATCAGGGAAGGGAAAATTAATCACATCAGTTTTCTTTCTGGGATTCTATTTTTTTGTACATTTTCTTTTCACCACTCCTTCCTTTTTTTGGGGGGGGGGTATAGTAGACCATTCCATCCATCTTTCCAGCCTTTCAGCACCAAGGGGAGGTTCACTAGGGTGTATCCTCCTGCCCCGTTCTGATAGTAGAAACTACTAGTTCCATCAATGGAACCACTCCACTGGATCTTTACCTTCACGTTTATGACAAGCTTCTTGTAAAATAAAAGTTGTGATCATATAAAAAGGACCTGTATAGATACAGTATCAGCTTCTAAAAAACATAAGAAAACCCAGCTAAAGATGCACTGTGGCTGACATCCAGTTGTGTAGTTATGCAAATGGCATCATTTTTGGAAGCAAATTGTCATAAACAAAGAAATTTCTGTATTATCGATTCCATATTGACTCATACTATTTGGCATTGCTTACAGAGATTTCTTAACTTACAACAATTTGCTTCCAAAATTTACACTGTTTGTCTAACTGCATGACATGATTTCAGTCAGTGAATCATACACATATCTTTCTTCTCAATCCAAAATCGGAATCTGATGACCTTTCTGATGTTTCAGACATGTTCACTGTCTTCTCCTAAGGATGTCATTATATTTTCTTATAGCATATTCTGATAACAGCTGAAGAAGAAGAGGACAACACTGGAGCTTTCAGCAGCATTTGGCATTGTTTTGAAAGTGCATTTTGAGTCATTTTAAGAACTACGTCCTTTAAAAAGTACATTAGACTGGAAATATGCATCCTTCACCTCAACTTTACAATAAAGAATTAAAATATTAGAGTGCTGAAAGTGCAAAACAAAAACAGACACATAAAGCTGTCCCAAACAAATATAAAAATTCACATACAGATACAGGGCAATATTTTTAAAGATAAGTTCAATTCTAGTTTCTTCTGTATAAGACTCTTAAATGGGCCTCTTTTCTTTCCAGTTCAGCTTCTAGGATTTCTCCCCAGGTATCAGCATCCATAGGATACATACTTTTTTCTGGCAAACCACTGCAGGAATGAATATTGCTATATTTTCCACTGAGCCATTCATACTTCACTTTGCTTTTCCAATAATTTCTCAAGAGTGTGACCTGAAGACAATAAATTGGAAATAATGTGAAGAAGAGAAATATATGGCAAGGAAATAAAATACAAAGATAACTCAGAGACTCGTACTTAAAAGTAACTATAATCAAAATCCAGTCATTACCAAACCAGAATTTAAGACAATGTTTTAGCTGAAGATGGACTCTATTTAAAAGCTGTCTCTAGGACAGTTTACTCTTCTTGTCACATATGAAACTAAAAGGTGATTCAGTATTTGAAGTTTCCTCATCTTGATTCTACTGTATGAAAATACTGTCAGCCCACAAAATATATCTATACTATATAGATCTTACATCTGCATTCCAGACCACTGTAAACCTCAGATATGAAAATAACCTAAAACTGACTTAATGCAGAAAAAAGTGTTACATTTAAAATAGATTCATATAAACAAAATGCACCACTGCCCACTAGTGGACATGGAAACTTTACATCCTCATGGTGAAAAATTAAGAGTCAAAGCTTCAAATGCATTCAATTTATTTATGGAAAACTGATGATTTTAAAATAGAAAGCTGGTCTGGAGGTGATTTAGGATAGAAGAGACATTTAAGAACATCATGCTGCTCTCCCTTCCACCAGTTCTCATCTCCAAATCCTTCCCTGCAACAGAATCTTTTCTCGTTAAAATGTATTATAAATTTGTAAATATAGACTTATTATTATAATAAATATAGATGTATATTAACTATAGATTTATTTTAACATATTCAAATGTTGAGCTCAAAATGCATCTTTCTGCAATTGCCTTGCAAAATGACAGAACAAGCTACAGTGGACCCTCTACTTAAGGAATTAATCAGTATTGGAATGGTGGCTGCAAGTCGAAAAGTCTGTAAGTCGAATCTCCATTGACCTACAATGCACTGAAAACCGATTAATCCCATAACCAGTGGTTTTTATTCTATTTTCATTCCATTTTGGTTTTTTTCTGGTCTGTAAGTCAATTCTCTGGCTGCAAGTCGAATCTAAATTTTGCAGCCAGAGAAGTCTGTAACTCGAAAAGTCTGTAAGTCGAGCCGTCTGTAAGTCGAGGGTCCACTGTATATTGACCACCCACTTCCCAATAAAAATGCTCCCCTTCCACCTTCTGTGGTGAGGGCCTACAGCTCTCACAAGCCCCAGCAATAATGGTGAATGCTAAAGGATTGTGGGAGTTAGTCAAGAATACCTGCAGGGCAAAAATATGAAAAGTGATTTTAGGCTTGGGTGGAGGAGCACAATTTGGGTAGATACCATATTCTTTCTCAGAGCCTTATCTGTATGCTTTCTAAGTACAAGGTGCAGGAATTGAGAGCTGCCACCATGACTGGAACTACCATGGGGTTTTTTTTGACAGGCTTGAGCCATGGCCTGTAGGCCTTATATAAAATGGGCTGCTGTAGCTCTTGAAATGCAAGACATAAAATCAGACTCTGAATATTTTCCCACTTATACACAGCATTTATTTCTTTCAGAGATACAGGAGCCCATTTGTTGCTGGTAAATGCATCTGAGCTGCAGTTCCCAAAATCTTTGCCATTGATTGTGCTGGCTAAGCTTAGTAGAAGATGTGGCTGAAGGGATACCACATGCTCCTCAGTCCCGCATTAGTAGTGCTTGAGGTGATAAGTGCATGAAATAGAAGATTTATTGAGTAGGTTCCCTGTAAAAATCCAGGCTGCTGTTGCTCCAGAAAGATGGCTTTAGAAGTTAGATACAGTATAACATTTCTACACTGTACCTAGTTCTTGCCACTGTAATCTCCAAGAGCTATGCGAGAAGCAACAGTATCAATTCTATGATGTCTTCTAAAATAACTAAATGTGAGGCTGCTACCTGCTGGCAGTGCTTTATTTTTTACAAAACTGTTTTCTATTCCTGCTGACTTTCCTTGTAAGAGGAAAACACAGCTAAAACCAGATGGTTTTCTGAAAAGCAGCCTAATTCTATCTTGTCTTGCAGGAATCTCTTTTGATTCCTGTGATTGTCTGTACCCCAAAGAGTACAATCAGACAATTCAGCTTTGCTTACCTATAAAATCATTCTCAACTGTTACAACATTCAACTAATGCTAAAAAAGAGAGAAAGAAACTGTAACTCATGACATGATCTTCATAACAGAAGTTATAGTGACTGCACTGCTTTCCACCATGAAATGGGTGGATTCCCAGTTCACATCAACTCTCCTGGAACTAGTCCTGAAAGCTGTAATCTTAAAGCTTGGTTTAGTACAGTGGTAAGCAATGTGTAGCCCTACAGATGTTGCTGGATTTCAACTCCCATAGATGTAGACCAAAACAATGAGAAATGAAAGTTGTAATTTGACAATATATAGAGGCCCATGAGTTTTGCACCTCTCATTAAAGTGGTCAGAACAAGCTCTTAAAATAGGGTTGATATTTTGGTCTATAATTCCATCAGTCACATCCAACAGGGTAACCAACTGAAGAAGTTGTATTCTAAAGGTTCTTCATCCTTATCACAGAACAATTATTTTCAGAACTCTTACAGATACACAGTTATGTTTTTGCTTGTTATGTTACTTGTAAGTTGGGCCTTTGCTGTGTGACAAATTGTACTGTCAAATAAGAAAGTACTTGAAATAACTGACAAATGGCAATGGTGGTTAACAACAGCTCTGGATTTATGCTGTGGATACGAGAAGCCCCTTTGCATCACATACCTTCCATGAATACCCATTTCCTCTGTCACCATCAATCTCTCGCTGGCAAACAGCTCTGACACTTAAACAATGTTGTTTCCATAACTGATCACAATTTTCAATGGTATGGTTCCAGCTCTTGCATGTCATCAAAGCACTGCATAAGCTCCGGATGTCAAGTTCACTAAAAATCTTCAAGGTGACTTCTAGTGGGAACAGCTGCACAAAATCCCCTTGAATTGTTTTATTCTTCTGCTCAGATGAATTTACAGATGATTTCTTACAGACAGTACAAGCAAGAAAATGTCTGCTGTGAGCCATTCTTCATAGTTTAGAGTCTGTTTAAGTACTAGCCACCTTTTGTGAAAAGGGTAAAATGGTCAGAGCAAAATGCATAAACAAAAGTGAAATTACTATCATCATGTCTGCTTGGAAATACTTGCAGATATTTTGCAACAGTAAAAAAAGTGTTCTGGAGTAGTGCTGCACTTATGCAGAAGCTACAGTTTAGAATGGGATAGCCAACTGTGGGGTCTGAGAGATGCACCTGTCCCACTACCTCTGATTTGCATGGGCTGGACCCACAGCCTTCTGCCAAGTAGCTGGGAGTTACTTCTCTACATTTTATTGCTAAATAATATTTTGGGTCTCCAAAGGCATTAGATAGCATTAAATAGGAAAACCCTAGGAGATGACTGTGTTGTATTCAGAATGGGTTCTATGGATGTAAATGTTCATTTTAGGGCCCCTTTCCCTGAAGTATTTTCAGGGGCTCCAGGGGCCACACAAAAGCCATACAACTCCTAGGCTGCACGATTCCTACCCCTGGATTAAAACATCATCATAACATACTTTTTTTAAAAAAATCCATCCATCCCTCACCTAATCCAGCCCTGGTCTGGATAGGTACTAATATATTCATAATATCTGCAAAACTATGTTTTTGCTCAGACTGTACAGTCTTATTATTTTGCAGTCCTATTATTTTTGCATACTATCTTTATGTGTCATATTTCAGTTTTTCATGATGGATAATTTCAGTTTCCTCATAAGGAATTTCAGTACATATGACCTAACCGAGTAGACATTGTCCAGAGGGGCTGGGTAAAAATCGAATAAATAAATAAATAAATAAATAAATAAATAAATAAATAAATAAATAAATATTCTTTGCAGAGCTTCACAATATTAAACTACTAGGCAGTACAATCTAAACTTAGAGATGCACTGGTTTCAGGGGTTTGGGATGGTCCTGAAATCCCTTGGGTAAACACTGTTGGGCTAAAGAATCTTAAACCTGCCAGAGCAACTGGATCTGCCAGCACAAGTGTGGTGCAGCACTGGCTGAGATCAGCTGGCAGAAGAGCCAAAACGATAAGCACAGAAGGGGTAAAAACAGTTATGTGAAATCCAAATCCCCCTCAGCCCAGACTCACAGCCACTAGGCTGACACCAACTGAGGCCAGGGACCATCTGCAAACTTCTGGAGAGATTTAGATTCAACACAGACCAGGGAGGTTGGCAAATCTTTGGGCCAGAGTCCCAAAGCTCAAGTCCTTACTGAAATCAAGCTCTCCCCCCCCCCAGGTTGGGATTCTGAGTCCAAGTCATTGGGGAAAAATCTCAAGTCTGAGTCCAGTCGCCAGTGCAATTTAAGTCTGACTTGACAACGAGTCCTGTGACTTCAGTCCCCATCCCTGACTATAGACTCAGCAAAGACGTTGTGTTAGCACATCTATCCCTCAGCCATCTGGGTTACTGAGGATTGCAGCCCAAAACGTGTAAAGTGAGTAGGATTTCTCTCTCTGTGTGTGCAAAGGCTGTGATGTCCCAAACAGGGATTGTTGTTGGACTAATGCATTTATTCAAGATGATAATGATAGTGCTTACTTCCCTTTTAACGTACCTATAGTCCCAGCCTCTTTTTCCCTAAATGGGAATTGGAGTAAAATATTAAAGACGTGAGTGGAAACAGATTTTGCGGGTTATGGGCAGCCAAGGTCAACGGGGAGCGCTTTTCCAATCATTCCCTGAACAAAGCTTTTCCCAGCTCTGAGGCGAACTGCCTCAGCTGAGCGGGTTCCACAGCCACCTGTCGCCTTTTCGCTCGTAGCCAATGAGAGCCTCGGAGGAACTTCTCTCCCGCCCCCCGCCCCGTCGTTTAAAGCCTTTCCAGCTGTACCAGCACCGCCCTGCTCAGCGATTGGATGACTGAGCTTCTCGCGACGCCCCTCCTCACCCACTCAGCAACCCGGGAAGCTCGCGCCTCCGAATTCCTCGTTCGGCGCGAGTTACTGGGCTGATATTCGGACGGGTACAGTTTCCGCCAACGGTTTGAACGCATCCCTGTTCGAACGGCTTTGTTTACTCCTCTTCTTCTCCTCCCCCCTCCCCAGTTACGTCATCACATCTTGGGGAACGGCATATTTTTTTTCGAAGGGCATTGTGGGGATTGTAGTTTGATAAAAAAGGAGGAAGCTGGGAGATAACATTGTCTCTCTCTCTCTCTCCCCCCCCCTCCCTTAAAGCGGCGTCTGCTTCAACAGGGTCGGGCCGTGACTTAGGCCGGAACTTTTGATCTCAAGTCAGCAGAGGGAAGAGATAGAGGGAGGGACGGCCGGTGCGTTGAGGTTTTTTGGGTCCCCAACACCACCGTGACTCGGGCGGGCTATGTCAGGGTTTGAGCTAGCGCCGGTGGACGGGGGCTGCCCCGTGGTGTTGCCGCCCGGGGAGACCGTGATAGGAAGAGGTGCCCTCTTGGGAGTAAGTGGCACGGGCGGTGCGGGGGCGGGAACTGCTGAAGAACTTGGGAGGCGGAGGGTTTATAAAAGCAGCTCCTGCAGTTGGGCCCTTAAAAGTTAGACGGTTGGCCCTCTTGTTCCGGCACGGCCGAAGAGGGGGAGAAAAAACCCTTGCAAACTTGAGGGATTCACCTTGTTTGCTGCTGGAAACTAGACATCTGCCGATGGGAGCTTGGGAGAAAAAGCGAGACATGCGTGTAGAGCGAAAAAAAATATGTTTCTCATTTCCGAAGCGAAAGGCATTCTCTCTCCCCTTCAGTCCTCATTTTTTTTTCTTCGTTTCACCCGCACATTCTGAGAATAGTGGAGTCATTTTGTTGTTGCTTTCTGGGAGCAGCAAATCTTCCCGATTCATTGGAGATGCCCTACCTTCTTTTAATAGACTCGTACATGCTTTCTGCACCCAAGTTTTAGAGACACCTTCCACCCCCCCTCAAGGTCCTGGCAAACATTCGTCTTTATTTATGTTATATTTTTCTTTATTGATTACATTTATATACTGCTCTACTCGGGGGTTTAGGACAACTAATAATGCCATGCCCACTCACTGCAATCAAAAGCAAACAAATAATAGGCAAGCATTGATTTTTCATCTACCATCTGAGATTCTATTTCACAGAATTAAGTCGGAAATTATTGCCAGACAAATTAACTTAAGGTCTTCTGATCAATATGATGTAACTCATAATTACGTTCACTACTATTCGAGTCTAGAAAAGGCTGATCATAAGCTTTTGGGAACATGCAACTTCCCATTGTTGTTTGAATGAGATCATTAAAGGTAGTCCTCCTGTTGCAATCTCAGATCATATGAGTATTCAAAACATGTACACAACTGGGCAAAATACAAATTATGTGGGAGAAAGAAAAATAGCAACCTCAGGGACTTGTTCTTGAAGTTGCATAGTAATGATTACTTCTAATGTAAACAGTTCTGGGACAAGGAAAGCCAAAGGGAGCTAGCTTCTCAGCAAAGCCAATGTGTTGGGTCCCTCTCTCCGTTCTCTTCCTTTACTCGATATGGATGGAGCTGCTGCATTTAAGTTATAGTTGAGGGTGGAAAGAGTCCTTTCAACACTCTCAATCTTAATGGCAATTCTATTTTACTGAGCATTTTAAATACACAGGCATCTTTCAGTCTCAAGAGACTATGGTAACGTGCTCTGTATGGAGGCTTTTGACGCTGTATGCGAAGCTGGAGTGTCCTCTCCAGAGCACGAAGCCTGGGTAAAATAATATGGAGGATAGGCTGTTACCCAAGCAGCAAATCCCACCTCTCCACATCGCTGAAATAATCCAATGGAAAGGCAAGAGCCAATACAACTGGTTCCAGCGACGTTGCAGGAGTTGCCAGAATGACACGAACTGCCTCCGGGACTCCGGCTCTGGATTATGCCTCAGGGTTAACTCCTGAAGCCTTTTCCATGAGTGGATATAGCCACAAGGCAGTGGAGGTTTGAAATTGGAGTTTTCCTTCCCCTAGATGGGCTGCCTTCCAAGGCTGACGAGCCCCACGTACCTGGAGCACTTTAAATAAACTTATGCATATTTAGTGAAGGCATAATTGAAACATCTTGATGTATTTGCATGTGACTGTGTATGCCCAAGGATGCTTTTCATTATATTGGCAGTAAATTAGTTTATTTAAGCATAATTTTAATTACCTTTCTATAAAGGCAGTGTAGGATAATCAGATGTGAAACAGGAGACATCAAATCTGTGATCAGATGTGTAGATAATTGAGAGAGCTTATGCTAGTTACTATCTTTGAACTGAATCTGGCTCCCTAGGATATTGACAGGACACAATGAAGACAGCAAGTGGAATGTTTTCTACTATCTTTAGCTCCTTATAAGAAGGATGTAATAGAAATGTAGCAATAACAATGAATAAAAATGATGGCATACTAGGGTACATAGCAAAACTAAGTTATTTAACATTTAATTAGATAGAATTCAGTTGGAAGAAGATGCATTTACTGCATTTAGTACTCAATCCTGATTTGATAAGCAAAGTTTGTTATTCCTGGCGGAGGCTAAGTGGCTTGGGGTGGAAGGAGTTACATGGGAGGCTGCATTTCCTTACAATAAGTTGTGCGTGAGGCTTAAATCAGAAATTTTAATTACTAAGGGAGAGACCTCTGGGTAGTGTGGGCAGCATATAAATTGAATAAATAAATAAATAAATAAATAAATAAATAAATAAAATTAAATTGAGAATTTTGAAATTAATGTTTTCTAGATTAGCATTCTAACTAGTTGCCATAAGGGAACTACACTTCTCCCTTCAACAATGCTGGGGTTAGCAGTGCTGAACACCTGTGTGGTTCAAAATCCATGTACAAGTATTTTGCCCCCCCCCCGCTCCAAATGTAACTAGGAAGTTCACACACACACGCACACTGAGAGGGGGGCAAGTAGACCACTTGGATGCCTTCAGTATTGAACTGACGAGGTTCTGGGTGGCCAGGGCACAATATGTATTAAATATTTATTGGAATATTGATTTTTTAAAAAAATCCATATTTAACTAAAGCCAAATCCATACTTAACCAAAGTGATACTGTTCAGACCCATGCAATTCAAGGGCAAAATATACACAGATTTGCTACAAGATTCAAGAGCATGATCCAAGGTTTTATAGTACATATGTGCTATGTACTGTGGAACTGTGTGTGCCAACAACATAGGTTTGTTGTGGCTGTTTTTGTACACATGGAAAGGTACTAATCAAGATCTGTTCAGGGCTAAGATTGCAGTCTTACCTTATTTGGAAATTATTTGGAAAGATTAATCCATAATATTTTAATCAGTTGCTTTTTAAAAAATGCACTTGTTGATCTATTATTTCATGGCATATGCTGTGCATTTGGAGCTGTATAGTCATATGATTCTTAATTACAGCTTGCTTTCATTAGTTGTTCAAAGAAGATTTTAGCAGTATTTTTCTCCACTAGATGTCACAATACACTGTGAATTGTGTTATAGTCCTCACTGTTCCATTTTTTGAAACTTATGTAGTATGTTGCAGTTAATGCATTCCAGAGTAATCGAAGGATTTTCTTTGAAACCCACCTCTTTATATTTTATATACTTTTCCTTCCATTTTTATGAATTATTGTTTTTATAATCTGGTTTTACACTGATGGTTTTAATGAGTTTGCTTTTATAGTTACGGTGTTGCTTTTTAAATTTCTGCTAAAATTTACTTTCTAGACTAGATGAGATATTTAAGATAATTAATACAGCAGGCAAGTGGAATGTGGCCCTCCACATCTTGTTCAGCTTCAGCTCCCTTTACTTCCACTCACCAAGGAATAAGTGGAATTATAGTGCAATGGCAGTTGGAGGACCATGGGTTCCCTAGCACTGCTGTAAAGGATTTAGGCCTGTGTGGTGAATCTGAAGAATAAAAGGACTAAAATGAAGCAGATTTGCTCTTGAATGAACAATACTTGTCCTCTCCTAAAACACCAGACTCATTAACAACCTGACAGGTGAACATATTAGTAATGCAAGTAGATGAGCAAATCACTTGTGAATTGAAGGCTGATTGAAACTGTCAGGCTTATTTGCCCATTGGCTCCCACTTTCTTTTTCTCCTGCTCTGTTAAAACATTGCAGCTGGTGCCTGCAATAGGATCCTCCAAGCTCAAGTATCCATCTGTAGAAGGTGTTGTGAACTTTCCTCATCTGCAGCAGGGAAGGAGCTGCAAGGTTTTCTTCCTCTGCTGTGGAATGTATATAGCTAGTATGTAAGCAACACGCAAGGAGGTGTTTCCAGTAGCTGCCTAGCCTTTGTGTCTGTCTCTGTGGGAGGGGAATCCTAATGTGAAGCTACAGGAAGGTTGGTGATTGATTTTCTTTGGGTTAGTTTGTAGAGTTTGAACTCACCTCCTGTGGAGTGTCTGTGCAATATTGGATTTTGGTTTTCTAACATTTTAGAATGTGTTTGCTAGATGCAAAACCTGTACCTTTAGAAACAGTGCAGAAAAGGAAATTACAGCAGATTGTAGTTGGCACACCAGACTAATCCTGCTGAAATTCTGCCTTCTGCACTATTATGAATTTTTTAAATTTATTTTATTTATTTAATTTATATCCTGGCAGTAGACCGAAGTCTACTCTGGGCGGCTAACAACACTCAAGAATAATAAATAAATAAATAAATAAATAAATAAATAAATAAACAAACAAACAAACAAACAAATAAATAAATA